GTGGATAAATTACAAACTCTCTGTGCCTAGGCTTCTTTGTCTATGAAATGGTGATAATAATTGCCTGTGCCATAGGGTTGTTAGAGGTTTTAATTAATTAATACATGTAGAGCATTTTAAAGCGGTAAGCACTATGTAAACATTAGCAGTAATTATTTGATACATTTAATTTTCAGATGCATTGACCCAAGGAAGCTTTATTGGAATCCCAAGATAACTAAATCATTGTATACTTTCATACTATATTTTTGCAGACATTTGCTTTGAAAAGTCACTTAACCATCTCAATAGAAGACGAATAGCTCTATAGTTAAATGTAATTTAGTAGACCATCTTAGTATTGTATTCTATACAATACTCCCAAATGTATATTATTTGAAGGGTCTATAACTTATTTAACAAATATTTGTGGTGCACCTACCTTGTGTACGGCATTGTCCTAGCATGGAGTTGATGGTACGTGTGTGTGTGTGTGTGAGGGCATGCACACGAAATCCTGTCTTACGTGGAACTTACGTCCTTTCAGGAGAACACAGACAGTAAATAAGCAAATAGGTGATTTGTGAGTTCTATGAAAAAATATAAAGCAAAGTCAGGATAGAGAGTGATGGAGAGAAGGCTTTTATAGGGAAGGCCTCTCTGATAAGGTTACACTTGAGAAATTAGCTGAAGAGGTGAGGGAATGAGCCCTGTGAATATTTGAGAAAAAGGTTGTCTGGGAAGAGGGTATGACAAAGTGCAAAGGCCCTGAAGTGGGAGAAGGCTTGGTATATTTAAGGAGTGGCCATGTGGAATTGAAACCTGCGTGAAAACTGCCTTCCATATACCCACATTATCTCCTGCATTCTCCTTCATAAACTCTCTGCTTCAGACAGGAAGATTATGTGAGAAAAAGAAAAAGATCACCACAGTGAAATATAAGTAATATAACTTCACGTTTGTTAGGTTGACTTAACACACAGATTCCAAAGAATCGGTGTGGACAACAAAATTGACTTTCCCGTTTCAAAAGCAGCTCAGACTAGGAAGCAAAAAATATTCAACTAAGAGCAGCAACTAGGACATTCTGGAATGCCTCTTAGCCTAGAAAGACCCTCAGCCTAGGGTTTTTGTGTAACATTTTGCATGCCTAGGTCTTTTTCTGGGGTGAGTGCGGGGTCCCTGAAGGGTCTCTGAACCCAATAAAAGTTAAGAATCACCACTTCAGCAAACAGTATTTTAGAAACCAGAAATATTCTTAGTTTTGTTTAAAAAAAAAACCTCAAATGAGCAAAAATGTACCAGAAAAATAAACATATTTTTGATTGCCTTATGTTGTTGAAAAGGGGAGTGTTAGGAAACCAATTGCTTTTTTTTTTAAAGGTTTTGTGGATATGGCATCATTTAGAAAATAATTACTGATTTGTTGAATTAAAGCTGAGACGTTAAGTCTGGAAGAGCTTATTTTGAGGGCAAATTGTAAAGAGTAGCAGCCAACTTTGTAGAAAAGCAACCTCCTGGCTAGAGGAATATTCTGAAGAACATTCACAACTGAGTATTACAAGTTTTCTATTTCTGAGGCGGTGCCAAAATTTCTGGGTAAACAGAATCTAAATCAGTTGTTATAAACTAAGAAAGTGTGTTATTCTGGGTCCTCTGAGAACCAGCCACCAAAATGAGATTAGATGTGAAAGGATTTTATTAAGGGAAACCTCTGAGTGAGAGAAAATGGGGAGGAAGGCAGATAAGCTGGGAGTGCCGTCAAATTCCAAGGCAAGTCTGACTCTGAATGAAGGAGATCAAGAAGGAAGGTTAGGTGAAAGTGTCCTAGGTCTCCTGCAGCCTGAAGAAGTTCAGCAAGGCTGTCAGGGAGTCCTAGAGCCAAAGTCATGTGCTAGAGAAGTCCCACGTCTCCCAGGACTGGGCCTGTCTTGGTCCTTACTGGCTCTGGAGCACTCAGTCCTTGGCTGGGCATAGCTTGTGGGAGGCCCGGCCTCAGCCCAAACTCTGCAATGGATTTCAGTGCAGGGTCATCAATTATGCTATAGTTGATATTGGAGGTGTGCATTCTCTGGGCCACAGAGAGGGTATCTGCATCACCTGGGGGAGTTGTATCTCTGCAGCTTCCACCAGCTTCAACCCTGGCCCCTCTACCCCAACTCAAGAGGTAATTAGCAGCCATGGGGGCCTGCCACTTGGGAGAGAAGTGCTGGCCAGGCCGCCAGAAACTGGTGGGGTGTGTCATGTCCCTCGTGTTCTGAGGGGGTAGAAGGAGTTGAGACCGTGGGAAATAGAAAAAATATCTTGTTTGATGTTTATTTTATGAATTATTGGAAATGATCTTTTATAACTGGCTTCCTAAGGATCAGTTACAAAGTTACCGAGTAGCCATACATTGCTCTGTCTGCATCTCTGATTTGTTCTAAAAAGTCAGAAGACAGTTGTTTAGTAAACAATTTCCATGGGCAAAAGGACAGAGCCTGGTTCCTGTGGTCTCAAGAACATTTCAACAAAAGGTGAGTTTAAATACCCACTGGTGAAGGGTAGCTCAGTGAAGATTACGCTGTGGTTAGCTACATCACAGGAGTTTCAGCAATACATCTGACCCCGCCCACACCTCAGTCATGCTCCCTCTGCACACATTCTGCTCTTCCTCCTCGCTGAACACTCTCCTCTCAGGCTGTGTCCTACCTACTACAGCATATAAGGATCTCTTTTTACACAATATGATCTGACCTAGAGTATAGAATTTGCTTATCAATAGGCCTCTCCCTCTGAACATGAATACTCCGGTGCTGAAAATCAGGTATTATATGAACAGACACTAACCAGGTCCTATTTGTCATTATTTTAAACGGAAAAAGTGTAATGAGTATTGGTGAATGTTAAGCGTATCCTAAAATGCAACATAACACAGTGAAAAATCTAAAAGAAATAAATAAAATGCTCATGTTAGGATGTAAATTGCTCAAATCCTCACTTTCTGATCACCAAAAAAATCTGTGCAATTAACTAATGATTGCTCTATATGCAGTAATGTGTGCAGTTTACATGTCCTATGCAGCCGTGATGGTTAATTTTATGTGTCAATTTGACTGGCTGAAGGGATGCCCAGATAGCAGGTAAAACATTATTTTGGGGTGTGTCTGCGAGGATGTTTCTGGAAGAAATTAGCATTTGATTTGGTAGACTGAGGAAAGAGACTGCTCTTACCAATGTGGGTGGGCATCATCCAATCTGTTGAGGGCCAGAAAAGAACAAAAAGGTAGAGAAATGATGAATTCTCTCTGGAACATCCATTTTCTCCTGCCCTTGACATCGAAGCTCCTGGTTCTCAAGCCTTTGGCCTCAGACTGAATCACACTGGCAGCTTTCCCAGCTCTCTTGGCTCTCCAGCTTGCAGGTGGCAGACTGTGGGACTTCTTGGCCTCCGTAACCATGTGAGCCAATTGCTACAAGAAATGTCTTCCTATATATCCTCTTATATTGGTTCTACTTATTCTGTTTCTTTGGAGAATCCTGACTAATAGATTAGCAGACACTGTCTGTGACCCTGGCCTTTTCTGCAGCGATCTGATTTCTAGCTGCCCGCACCTGAGAATCTTTGCCTGAGGGTTTCCAGTCCACAGGATAAGGACTTTGTTATAGGGTAGAACTGTTTTCCAATTAATGCCCTCTGGGGGGAGTTCTCACCGAATGACTGATGAGAGTAGGTGGATAAAGGCTGCGGCTCCCTTACCTCTCACGTGGAATAACGCCGAGGCATGTATTTATACTGACTTCTTTATTGGTGTTTCCCAGATTATTAACCAAATAGGTATTTGTACCCAAATACTTGTGTCAGGTTTCTGTTGTTGACGGACCTAACCCAAGACTTCTTACCATGAACTTTATGTACTATAGATGACTGTGATGTTTTAATCTATTTCTTAGCCCCAAAAATATCCCAGATGGACATCCCCTTCATTGAGACTCAGCACACTTTTCAAAATATCTATGATTCTGACATCATACCAATTTTATTTAGAATATAAACCATTACTTTCCTCCTACATAATTTTGTTTAAAATTGAGAATGGAAATATAAATTTTTCCTATATAAACATTGCTAGAAAACAGTATTTCAGGAGATGTGACGTTGGTGGAACTTGAGTGTTAAAAATCAAGAAATATCAATATGTGGAAAAACCCAAAATTTCCATTGACTGATGAGTGGATAAACAAAATGGTGTATGTACAAACAATAGAATATTTTACAGCCATAAATAGGAATGAAGTTCCGATACACGTTACACCATGGATGAACCTTGAAAATGTGCTAAGTGAAAGGTGCCACTCACAAAGGGCCACTAACTGTATGACTCCGATTACATGGGATGTCCTGAATAGGCAAATAAAGAGACAGAAAACAGATTAGCAGTAGACAGGGGCTGGAGGAAGGGCAAATGAGAGTGGCTGCTGATGTGTTCAGACTTTCTTTTGGGAGTGAGAAAAGCGTTCTGGAATTAGAGGGTGGTGATGGTTGCACAACTTTGTAAATATGCTGAAAACCACTGAAATCAAGAAGCATCCTACCAGGAAAATGTTAATTGGGAAGATGTTTTGTGGGATAGACTTATACTGCCCTGCACTGATCTCTGATTATTTTCTAGTTGAGTAGGTACTAGATTTAGTTTATGAAACTTCCCAGATTTTCTTGAAGATGGCTTTTTGCTCAAGGCCGCTGATAATCCCTGGGAAGATCGCCTGACACGAACCACATTCTCATGGGCCGCAGAGAGGAGATTATGATCATTATTGGAGGAAGGCTCTCAAGGAGCTTACCTTGGAAGTTGTGTTGTCATGGCATTTTACTAGTCGGCAGTTGGGCTCTCTGCAATAGTTGTTACTAGTCCCCCATGCTCACAGCACAACTCATTAGCACCTCACCTCACGCCTCACCCCACATCCCTCTCATCTGCCTCCCTGGGGCCTCATTGTCACTCCTGAGGCACCACAGGCTGCAAGATTGCTTAGTACGCATGACATGCACTGGTCTGACCAGTGATGAGGCTCCAGGTATGCAGGCAAGAGTGTCCTGGTTTTTTCCCTGATTCTTGCTGACTCCCTCTTGATCTTCACCTCACTCAGAGGAAGCCCCCTTGGCCAACATTGGCCTTGGCAAGTCTAACAGCTGCCCAGAGGGTTGAGTAACAGCTGGGGAGTATGGGGGAGTTAGTGCCCCTTCGGGTAAAATTTGACCAATAAAAGAGTAGATGTGAAGAAGCAGGCAAATAAATACTTCTCCCCACCCCCCCCCACTATGAACTGTTCTGAGATGCAATGTTTTTGTGTAGTTTCTTGAGAGATGAATGTCACAGAGTGAGCACCCAGCTGTGTTTTCTGGTGTAGTTGTGGCCAGCAATAATGTACCACCTTGTATATCTTCCCCTCTTTTCTGGATTCATTTCCCTTTCCCCTTCACTTTACTTCTTGGTATTGCACCCCCACAAATGAAGAGATCACATATTAGTGTTGCCTCGGGCTCTGTTTTCTTGGGGACCTGGGCTAAGATAGTATATCATTTTTTCTCACAAAAAAGCGTAACCTGTCCGGAGCAGAGATTAGCACACACTAGGGGCAAAGTGGAGGAAATGCTGGTGCCTAGCGTGGTATGCTATCAAGACATAATAAATTGATTTGGACAAATGAGATTATCTAACTCACTTCCTTGCCATTAGACAAAGCTACCACTTCCTTTTATGTGGTATGCAAATTTATATTTTGTAAAGAAAATAAAACTATACCACCGTCTGTTTACCAACTTAAAATATCCTATTGTAAATCATCATTTTAACCTATGTGTACCACAAGTGATAAGCATAATGTATTGAAATAAAACTAAATACACTGGCAAACGTAAACATTCAACTAAATGACTTTTGTCCTTAAAAATATTTACTGGTGGAGATTAATCACTTCAAAATTTGTACAATTATTCTAGTTTGGAAACTAGTAGCCTACATTTGGTGTATGGGCACTTCACATAAACTATCCTATATAGCCTACCCTTCTCAATTAGCACCTTTGTTTGCTAATGAGTTATACTGTACAGTGTATTGGGAATGGTAGGAAAAATAGCTGGAGAAATGTACCCTGAGTGCATTGGAGATTCTGGTGTGCATGGAGGAATAAAAAGCTTGCTTGTCCACTCTAAGCATGATATAAAAGGCACAGATTATTAAAAAAAAAAGAATTGATTTTATAAAAATTAAATATAAGCAACAAAACCAGAAACAAAGCTCCTTATATTTCAAAGCATCATAAACAATGGAAAGGTAAATGATAAGATGGGAAAAATATTTACAGCTTGAATAATAGCCTTAAGATAAAAAAAAACCTTTTACACTTCAAAAGAAAAAAGACAAATATCCTAGTAGAAAAATGGACAAAGGACACTCATTTTGTAAAAATGTTCTTGCAAAGAATTTCCCTGTGTCGTAATGAAAGTATGATCTTAAGAAGAGCAACAATGTAAACAAAACAACCCTGAATGGCCTTTAACATTTGGTCTGTAGTAAAATCAATTTTTAACTATCCATGGGTGAGTTGTTGTTTTTTTTTTTTAGAAATTCTTTTTTTTTTTTTTAAAGATTTTATTTATTTATTTGAGAGAGAGAGAATGAGAGACAGAGAGCATGAGAGGGAAGAGGGTCAGAGGGAGGAGCAGACCCCCTGCTGAGCAGGGAGCCTGATGTGGGACTCGATCCTAGGACTCCAGGATCATGACCTGAGCCGAAGGCAGTCGCTTAACCAACTGAGCCACCCAGGCGCCCCGTGAGTTGTTCTTTGACTTTTCTTCTTTATTGCTATCCAGGATTCAAAGGCACAGAGATTAGTTTCACTTATTACCAGCAATAGTAGACAGAATTTGAGTGGGGCTGAAATAATGATTTTAGAATAACTACCTTCATTTGTTCATGAGCAAATATTTATAGTGCTTACTATGCCAGGCATTCTGTTAGGTGCTGCAGGTACATTGGAGAGCAAAACAGAAATGGTTCCTGCTCTCATGGAGCATATAAACTATAGTGAGAGTCAGGGTGGGGAGCAGGCATTAACTTCATAAAATCACACAAAATATATATGTACAACTTTGATGAGCACTCTGAAGTAAAGTACAGGTTGCCATGACAGAGAGCAGAGGGACCTCATTTCAATTGTTGAGTCAGGAAGAGCTCTTGAGGGAGTGATATAGAGCTGAGATCTGAGGGATGATAGGTAACTAGGAAGTGTGGATGGAAGAGTGGGCTTGGGAAAAGTGAGCATACCAGCTAAATGGAACTGCATGAATAAAGGTCCTGACTCAAAAGTGAGGTTGACGCTTTATAGGAACTGTAAGAAGGCAAATGTGGCTGAAGTGGATGGGCTGAGGGAGCAGGTGCCATGGCATAAGGCTGAGAAGGACAAGAAGGCCATAGCTAAGACTTGTGCCTTTATTCTAAGAGCACTGAGAAGTCATTTAGGGGTTTTAAGCAAGATTATTCAACTATTCATAATGTTTCACATTATAAAGTAGCTAAAATGTTGATGTGTGTTAATTAGGATAAAAATTTAGGTAATGCTTTAGATTAACTTTATAATTTTGGAAGCTTGTTTGAAGATTATCATAGAGAAGCCTAGGGTAATTAGATGAAGGATTCTTAGGATAAGTGTGGTTCATGTACACAGACTTGCAATGATATAAAAATCTTATTCAGAAAAGAGGTCTCCTTGATATATCTTTGTAATTAATACAAAAACATGGGTTATAGAAAAAGACCCTGTGTTCTTGGAGTCCAGTGAAATAAAATCGTATTACACCGTAACATGATTGGTGTCTGTCAGATTAGTTTTCCATTTGACACACAATTGAGATATTAAAATTACAAGTCCAGATTGATATACTTACTTAAAAGGATGAATTTATTTTCTTACGTGTACTACTAAAACAGATTCATTTCCACTTAAAGTGCATTTAAAACTGAAGATTTATTATTGAATTGTACATCTAAGAAGGTTTTATGAGAAGCACTGAAGGTTAAATATGGGTTAATAGTCACGATCATGGTTAATCATTTACTTAAAGACCAATGTTGAAAATCACATTTAGGATAGAATTTATAGTAATGGTCCTTTTTATGAAAGAGCTTTGATCACACTGTTGGTGGGAGTGTAAATGAGAACAATGTATTTTCAAAAATAATTTGGCCCCAAATTGTAAAGTTGAACATTTTCATTCCCAACTACCCAGTAATTTCACTGCTGGGTATATATTGTAGAGAAAGTTTTACACACATGTCCCAAGAGATAGTACAAAAATTAGTCATGAAATCATTGATCATAACAGCAAAAAACTGGCTACTTAAATGTCTACAGAAGGAAGATAGATAAATTGTAGAATAGTCACACAGTAGAATATCACGTAGCAGTGAAAATGAACTATATGTAATGGAAGGATCTAGAAATCAGTATTAAGTAAAAAAAAAAAAAAAATACCAGAGGACTACACACAGTAAGATACCTGTTTTATAAAAAGCTTAAAACCAAGCAAAACTAAAAAAGTATATTACTTAGGGATGCAGACATATATGATGACGTTATTTTTTAAAAAGACAAGGGGATGGTAAAACACAAAATTCACGATAGCGGTTACCTGTGGAGGACAAGGAAGGAAGTGGGATAGGGAAAGAAACTCCTAGGCTGGTACAGAGATCGGTCACAGTTTGGTTTTTAGGTGGGATGATGGGGTCATAGGTGTAGTACTCATGGTTGTTGTGCTTCATGCACCCTTTTGTATGTATAGTTTAAAAATATACGGGCGCCTGGGTGGCTCAGTTGGTTGAGCAACTGCCTTCGGCTCAGGTCATGATCCTGGAGTTCCGGGATCGAGTCCCGCGTCGGGCTCCCTGCTCAGCAGGGAGTCTGCTTCTCCCTCTGACCCTCCCCCCTCTCATGTGCTCTCTCTCAATCTCTCTCATTCTCTCTGCCTCAAATAAATAAAAATATAGATGTATATTGATAGAATATTAGTAAAAGAATACTACTCAATACTCAGTATATATTTGTATGCAGAAGGCAGGAACAATACAGAATACAAATATGAATGATATAGAATACAAATACAAACAATATAGAATACAAATCAAATTCATAATTGGGAAATAGAAAAATGTGCAGAGAATTTCTACATGTATAGAAGATAATTTAAAATTATTTCAGGGATTTTTTATTACATTCATCATTCAGAGCTGGTAAGTCATTTTACTTAATTTTTACAACTTTGTTATAAGTGGCAAAAAAAAGAAATGACATCATAGAATGACATCATACAGGAAATAGATATGTTATCAAACTCTGTTTTAAAGATTTCTTAAACCTAAAAGCTACAATTCTGAAAGTTTTTTCTGAAAATGTATTACTTCTAAAAGCTATATTTTTTGTTCTTTATATTCTTGCAAGGCTGACATGAGTTCATTGCAGAGTTAAAAATGGTAATTACCTGGTAAATATTTATTACTATTACTGTATTTCATGAAAACCTAGGATTGCAATTAGCTCTTGGTTCATTACTGTGTCACCTGTAATGGTATAGTATTTGCACAAGGCACAGTCTATGGTACTCTTTCTGTGAAATTCAGATAGTATTTTACTCTAGCAACAAATCTTTTAGACTTTTATGTAGAGATGAAGGACAGTTTACTTGTGCTTGTCCACTGCCCAGCACCTATTATCTGTGGGTGAGGTACTTAACAGTGCAGTGCTGACAAAGCTAAAGTCAAAGGTTAAAGTCAGAACTGTGGGATAAGAGCCTGTGTACTCTTTCTCAGATTTCTGCAACAAAGAGCCACTGAAATGTTACTAGAGAAGCATAAAAATTAGACTAATCATCTCAGTATCACTGGGCAATCAATGGATGCTAAGAGGATTGAACTGGTGGTCAGAAGAACTGAGTTGAGTTTCCAACTTCTTATACTGAATTGTGGTATTCAGTTAACATCTTTGTGCCTCATTTTCCTCATATTTATAACAGAGATAATAGCTCTTTTATCTTCCTCCTAGGATTGTTATGAGAATGGAAATAAATTGATATACATGAAAAACCTGTATAATTTCTAGGAATATGCAAATGTTAGTTTGTCACTAGAGGAAGGTCTTTTTCTCAAATACATTAACATTCACAGTGACTCTAACAAAACACTTTATTAGGCCTTTAAAAGTTACTATGTAAACGATATGAATTTCTTAAAAGAAATGAGAACATGCCTATGGGGTCTGCTTGAAAAATCATTTTATTGATTTTTCACAAAAATGAACTATTTAGATGTAAATGTCAAAGCTTATCTCCACAGAGTATCTCGATTTATTAATCAAGTCAAGACCTCCTTTTGCCATTTAACTTCCAGGGAAACCAGTATGGTCTTTTCTCTTCTTTATTTAGGTATGGAAGAAACACAAGTCATGCCTCTCATGAGTATCTGCTGCTATCATCAATACAGTAATGTTGTGGACAGGCTGGATGGGCCCCTAGGTTTGGAATTTTACTTCTGCTCCAGGGCCTGGTTAGACTTGTAGTTCTGGAATCTTGACCAACTTATCTGGAAGGTGACTTTGCCTCAGGGAAAGGTTCTGATAATGCACCCAAAAGCCATTTGCTAATTTACAGTAAGAAATAATGTAAACGCGTATCTTCATGACAACACTAATGTATTACTTTTGCTCTATAGTTCCTAAAGGCTTTTTAAACTCATTATCTCATTTTGGAATCTCATGACTTATGACTTTTGAACAGAATGACTTAATTTATTTCAAAACTGTTTATTCATCAGATGGAATATACCAAAAAGTGCAAAACAGAATAGGGGACCATATCTTAGTTGTCAAAAACAACATACTGTTGGGGCGCCTGGGTGGCTCAGTTGGTTAAGCGACTGCCTTCCGCTCAGGTCATGATCCTGGAGTCCCAGGATAGAGTCCCACATTGGGCTCCCTGCTGAGCAGGAAGTCGGCTTCTCCCTTTGACCCTCCCCCCCATGCTCTCTCTCTCTCTCAAAAAACAAACAAACAAAAAGACAAAAACCAACAACATACTGTTAAAAGTTCTTCATATTTCCTTCCTGTCTTTTCTATACATGCTTATGTAATTGAGAACATACTGTATATGTCATTTAAATGTCAAAGTTTTCTTTCTTTCTTTCTTTGGTTATGATGGCAATCTATGCTTTTTGTAAATATTTTGGAAAAGTTGCAGAAAGCACACAAAAGTCCAAGGCAGAACATGAAAACCACATATCATCTACTACTGTAGTTAAACACACTGAACATTTTGGTGTATTCCTTCCAGTATTTTATTCCTATCTATCTATCTACCTATTTATTTATTTATTAAAAACGTAGTCGGGATCATACCAAGGCAGGAATGCTTGGGGACACAGACACTGCCTGGGCTTGGATCAGGCAGCCTCTACTCTCCAGTCTAGCGGACTGGAAGTTGCAGATCAGCACTTTTCTTCCTGGACAGGGGTAGGGAGAATGACTATTTTCCCTTAAAGCTCACTTCTTTCTGTATTTTTAGCTGATTTGTACATTGTTCATTTCCCCCAAATCTTCAAGGCCATCGACACCTGCCCGTATTTCAACAAGTTATCCTTGATGGTTTCGGGAAGCCCGTACTCTTCTCTGCGGCCCTTCACTTCCGCTCATCGAGAGACTCCCGCCCCGACTGCACTTTCTCCTGCGATGACTGAGCAGGTGGAAGGAGGCCTCGAGTTTGGAGCTTCAAAAGGATCCTGAAACTCGAACAGCCCAGGCACAGGTTTCGCCCCACCGCGGGGTCGGGAGCGCCCCGGGGCTCCACTAGGAGGCTCCGAGTCTCTCCGCCGAAGGGTTGCCACCACCGAAGGCCTTCGCGGTTAGTCCTCTGCTCCAAGGGCGGCCGCAGCCCTCAGGGAGGCCAGCCCATCCTCGCCCCTCCCGAGGTTATCCTCAGAGCTCACTTCCCTGGGGCTCCGAGTCCTCACATCCTGCTGTCGTCGGGAGGGTCTTTTCTCGTCGCGAGAAAGGTTCTAGGCCTCAGCCTCGCTCTCCGCCTCTCTTGAGATCCCGGCAGGCCTCTGTCACAGAACCCAACGGTCGGATCCTCTCCGCCTCGCTTTGCGAGCCTGTAGAAGTGCGTCCCTTCTCGCTTGCCTTATGCCAGGCGAGGCGGGGACCGCACTACAGTGCTGCCAGCCGGAGGGGGGAACGCTCACGTGCGGCACTTTGCTTTCCAGCCGGCGACAATCGCTCTCGAGAAAACCAGCGTTCAGACGACCAGGACTAGTATTATTTTGTCCTGGGAGCCCGCACAGGAGGGAGGAAAGGCCATCTACTCGACCTGGGCAGCGGACGCACCCCTTTTCTCCCCCTCGGTTCGTCTGAACGGCCGGGAGCGGCGAGCGCTCCAGCCTCGGCGGAGCTGCCTTAGCCTTTGACAGCTCCGCGCGAGCACCTCGGGCCTGAAGTCCAAGCTCCAGGGGAGGGACGGGGCGGGGCGAGCGCGCGCGGGGCGGGGCGAGCGCGAGCTGGGGCGAGAGGAGGGAGCGCGCGAGCGAGCCGAGCGGTGCCGAGCGGAGCAGGGAGGTACCGGGGAGAGGCTGGCTGAGCCCGCCGGCCGCCTGCGGCTCAGCGCGGATTGTGCTGCGTCGCCAGGCTCAGCGTACCCCTGCCTCTGCCCAGGCTCCCGCAAAACTTTTATTCTCTGGGGCTTCCCGGGGTGTCTGAAGGAATCGGAGCGCTCGGCAGGCTCTGCGCTCCCCTGCCGCGGCGACCCAGGGGACGTGCATCCCTTGCCCGCTGGGCTCTCGCGCCCCGCGCCTCCTCACCTGCTGCTGATCTCTCCCCAGAGCGGCGAGGGGGCACCCGCGGAGGGGCCGCGCGGGGGCCAGCGCCCCCGAATTTTCCCGCCCACCACCGTAGACTCGCCCGGCGCAACTTTAACTTGATTCCTCTAGCCCAGCTCGGGCACCCGCGGCTGCTGCTTTGCTGCCACCGCTGCCGTCTCGGCCGCCGCCTCACAAAGGGGCGAGTGGAGGGGAGGTGGCGCGGTCCGCGGGCACAGGCGCCGGTGCGCAAGGCGCGGGCCTCCTTGCCGCCAAGGCCGGGAGACAAAAGGGGAACTGCCTCTGTTCGCCGTGCGGGCTGGGAGCAGCCTGCTCGTCCGCCTCCTGCCCGGCTCCGCGAGTCTCCTCCCCCATCCCTCGGCTGCTGCTCCTCCTCCCTCCCCGCGGGCTGTTCCCGCAGTGCTCCGGGACCCGGCGAGCCTTCGGGGCGCGCGTCGCTGCTGGTGGTTGGGGCTGTAGCGATAATAAATGATAGAGGATACAATGACTTTGCTGTCTCTGCTGGGTCGCATCATGCGCTACTTCTTGCTGAGACCCGAGACGCTCTTCCTGCTGTGCATCAGCTTGGCACTGTGGAGTTACTTCTTCCACACGGACGAGGTGAAGACCATCGTCAAGTCCAGCCGGGACGCCGTGAAGATGGTGAAGGGCAAGGTGGCCGAGATCATGCAGAACGATCGGCTCGGGGGGCTCGACGTCCTGGAGGCCGAGTTTTCCAAGACCTGGGAGTTTAAGAGCCACAACGTGGCTGTGTATTCCATCCAGGGCCGGAGAGACCACATGGAGGACCGATTTGAAGTTCTTACGGACCTAGCGAACAAGACGCACCCGTCCATCTTCGGGATCTTTGACGGACACGGGGGTGAGGTAGGAGTTCTCTGGGGTTTTGTTTGTGTGGGTGTGCGTAAACAAGAGAATGTGTGAGCAACGGGGTAGGAACTGGGTGCGAGGGGCGTGGTGATGACCTGGTGCCCGGCTGGACAAAGACACTAGATCCAAATGTGGTTCAGCTTGCTAAAAAATACTGCTGGATCCAGACCTCTTGGTCTCAGTGGCCAATTTGGTGGAGGGAGGGTCGTCCACAATCTATTTTGTGCCTCATAATTTGAGGTTTCCCGAGGCCAGAACCCAGCAAATGACTGTGCTAGTTTTTCGGGGAGCGTTTATGCTTTCTGCTGTGAACTTTGGCCCAGGGCCTCAGCGTCCCTGTTCTAGGGTTTGAGGCTAAGCTAGGCACAAAGAAGAAAGAAAATACCTTTGATTCTCTTTAGGGAAAAGAGACAAAATCTGCAGAGCCGAGTCAGTGAGGGCTCATTGAAGATGAAGGAAGCTGTGACTCCTTCCCATCCCATTCTCCTAGAGGAAGAACCCGAAGGGCAGCTCTTCGCTTCTTCCCAACTCCATTAACTTTGCAAGTTAACAGTGGCGCCTCACTGGTCGCCTGCTTTTAGCTGAATCGTGGCACAGGACCGGGATGCCTCTGGCCTTTGCAGAGGTGGCAATGACCGCAGAGGCGGCGGTGCCCAGATCTCGCCCGGGCGCCCTGGCTGACTTGGTGCGCAGGCATCTCCCTGCTTCTAAACTCCTTTATTTGGGGTTCATCTGGGGCAAAAGATGATGTTGGAGGCCGGTTCGGGTCCCTCTGCCGCATTTCTGCGCAGGGGCTCAGACTTCCTGGAGGTAGGGGCGAAGGTTGGCTGATTGCGCTGCGGGGCTCAGATTTCCTGGAGGTAGGGGCGAAGGTTGGCTCTTGTCCTTGGGCATTGGCCCAGGGGAAGTGAGTGGCAAATGTGGCTCCAGCGCCGTTCTCCCAGGTGCATCAGTCAGCCACCCCATCTCTCTCAATTGGCAGTTTGTAAGAGTTTCAATGCTGCATACTTTTTTTTTTTTTTGCAGGATACTTTTTTACTCGTATTCCCTCTGCCCCCTTTGCCACCCCCTCTTCATGAGTCCCCCACCCCACCCCACTCCCCGTGCTCTGTACCCTCATCCAACTTTCCCTCCAACTCTCATTTTGGCCCTCTGGTCTCTGATGGGCTGTAGGGGATGTTCAGCAGGTCATGATTTGCTTTTTCTTTGGCCTTTGTTTTGGGTGAACATTGAAAAAGCTTTCAATTGGTTATTTTATTTGCATTCTGTCTTTGATACAAAGTCACTTCACCCACCACCCTGCTATCTTTCCCAGGTACTCTTATCTATCTGCCTTAAACCAACTTTGCTAGGAATGACAAACTTAGTTGGAAAATTTATTTGGTAGAATTGAAATCAATTTTTGCTATTTTCCATCCACCCTAGCCCTCTGTTCTGTCTTTCAAAATGTTGGTTTCAAAGGAAGGTTTTTTACTGGTTGTAATTTTGTAGCTTTTTGTGTAGGGTGGGGTTCCTTTCCCCTTGGTCACAGGATAGATGAAAGACCTGAAATTAATTGAGGGAAGAGATGCTCTGTGCTTGGGTAAAAACATATTTGAATGATAATATTCCCAGTATAATGACTAAATTGTTTTCTTGGTTTGATCAGAATGTCTATATTTTCATTTTATGTGTCTCGCCTAGACTGTTTTAAATCATTTAATAAAGCTTCTATTATATATTTTCAAATTAAAATTGGGCAGCTGTTAATCTGCTTCTGGTCTTAGAAAGCACAGCTTTATTTTTAATTTAAAGATCCAGATGTAATATTAATGTTGTGAAACTTTGGGTTGTGCTTGCTTGGGTGTGCTGTACTGATATATTTTGAGCCTGCACGTGTAAGTGAATGAGTATTTTAAATTTTCTTTTAAGTTGATATTCTAAAACCTGGAAGTTGTGGACCTAAACAGATTTCAGGTTGAAGAATTTCCAGTACTATCTTCTGGTAAATGTATCATCCAGAAAAGGGACATGATAAATGTTTTTATTTAAACAGAAGAATTTTACACGTATAGGTACCCTCCTTAAAAATAGAGTAATTGTTCTATCTATAATCTCCTATAGTATGTAGCCCGTTCATTCATCTTGGCTTTGTTTTAGGGCAAAATAAGAAAAGTAATGTAAAAGGTAGTTCTTTAGTTGCTATTGGGAATGTGATAATAACAAATAACGTTAGGTATTTTCTCTCTTGCTTTTTCATTCATTCAAAGAAAACCCCACCATCTAATTGTTGTCTTTTGTGTTGTTTTAGCTCCTGTAACATTCACCAGAGGAGGGTGCCACTGTTTGATTTTGGTATAGATGATAGTTGTCTCCTTTCAGAAAAGAGGAAGCTTTTTCTGAGCTCCCTATTATTTGTATATGTTGTGTACAGAAGATAAATGAGGACTTTAATTTCATTTCTACTAATTCAAACTAATAAGATAGTCTATAAAAAATGAGGGCCCATCTACAATGGTACTGCTTTTTAAATGTAGAAAGGAGCTAAGCCAACTTGTATATATACATTTCATCCCATTTTTTAGATGAGGTATTTGTTGATGGGCTTAAGATGTGACCTTCCTAAGGTTAGTTCAAGGCCTTCAGTTTGGTAATTTTTATATTAAACCACTGGACAAGTTAATTTGCATATTTACCTCGATAGATAGCACACTAGGGATACAAAGGTGAATGAGATAGGCTTCCTGTCCTTGCAAAGTTTCAGTGTAGTGAGAAAGATCTGTATAACAAAAATTACAGTCATGGTGTGCTTAGGGTGTTATGGGAACACTGAGTAGGGGCATTTAAATTGTACTGGGAGGTGGGAGGCCCAGGGAAAGACACTTTGAAGACATTATTTACTGCAAGTTAAAGGCACAGGTTTTGGTTTGAGATCTGGCTTTGAATCTCTGCTCTGCCTTATAGTAGCTGTGACCATGGACAAGTTGCTTAGTCAACTTTATCTGGGAGTTATTAATCTGAAAAATAGGGATAATAATGCACATAAGGTACACCTCTATCAGTTGTATTTTACCATATCTAGAGAAATACTTAATGGATGTGGAAGGATGTGGAAAAGAAAGCTTAGAGACCAAGAAGTCTACATTGTTAGGGCAACAATATCCTAGGAAGAGAGACTCTACATGTGAAAGCCACAGTTTTGATCACTAGAAAGGCATATGTTGGATATGGATAATTTCAAACTTTATACCTCTTTGTTCTAACTTATGGTAAACTGATTACTAATTTGGGATTTCAGGTATCTTAGCATTGGGGAAGCAGCATCCTGGCTTCTGGTGCAAATTTTCTGATTAATGGAAAGGAATATTCTCTATGATTGATTAATAAGTTGGTGTTCTGATTCCCACTTCAGCCTCTTAGCATGAGTTGGTACTCTTTAGTCTATTCAATTGTGTATTTTTGACAAAGATTTATCTCTGGACTTCTTATGCTGAGGACCAGACTCTGGATAGCTGTGACTTCTACATGAATGACATCTTAAAGAGCTTTGTCTCAGTGTTCTTATAGGCCAGCTTCCTCACTTGATGCTGTTGGGCCCTTGAGACATTCTAATCATGATACTGTGAGTAGATGGTTGATTCTGTGTGTGTGTGTGTGTGTGTTTGTCTAAAGCGATGGCAGTGATTGTTTTTCTGTATAATAAAAGATTTAAAAAAGATTAAAACAACAAAAAGGTAAAAAAATAGCTCAAATTATACCAAGTGATGTGGAAAGGTTATTTTTAAAATTAAAAAATAATGTTTATCTAGGAAAATGTTTTTTTGTGTGTGTACTTATCTCCAATTTTTATCTACCGGCAAAAGGTGGGTGTTTTTTTGTTTGCTTCTTTTACTTTTTATATTATGTAGAAGAAATATCACCAATCCTTTGAGGCAACTTTGTCAATGTTCATGGCTTAAACCTATCTGGAAAAACAGATTGCTATGTGCTTCATCATTACTGTATTAAAGGTCATTGTATCATACAATTGACACATAGCTTGGCCAGTGGTTAAGCTTAGAGTTCCACACTTGGCATCAGAGAAGTTGTACTTCAGATGCTTGTTGGGGACTGCAGTCTTGAGGCTCAGCACTTCTCAGAAGTTCAGAGGAGAAACTGCTTATGGAAGGTTCCCTGAAGGATACATATAGTCTAGTTCTTTAGATTAATGGTTCTTAACTTTTCTTGAGTCATGCTTCCCTTTGAGGATGTTATGAAACGACAGACATAGCCCAAGAAGAATGGACATGTGCATCAAGTTTTGTTTAAGTGGATACATGAAGCCTCTCGATTTTAGGTTAGTTCAGGTAGAATAAAATCTGTTTCTGATAAATCTAGACTGGCAGGGAGCTGTGTACCTGGACCCCTTCCTTGGCCTGATTGTCATCTTCTCCATCATTTGCATTTATTGACTGTGTGCCGTCATTTGCCTGTGAGGGATGTTATGAGGAATGGTCTTCCCAGTTTTCTGAGAAATCAACGGCAAAGATGTCCTCGAGGACTTTATTTGTTGCATTATATAGTATCCTTTTAAGAGGACCAAGGGAAAGACAGTTCTCTGATAGCTTTGTGTTTTTAGCTTAAGGATTGAATCATGTGACTGATTGGATCATCCTGTGTTTGTTGGCTACTAGAAGTGTTAGAGCCAAGCCTCCTGACCTACCTCTAACAAATGTGCAGAATTTTATAGAATACATTGATTTGGTATATAAATCTCACTCGCAGGACAGCTTATCTTTCCTACATTCAGTTTTCCTTTGTTTTATTATTTTCTTTCTCTTCTGAGATAATGTCATTTTATCTTGTTGTGGTGTATGTATTTATGTAAGTTTCATTGGATCCTTTCTGAAATAAGACACAGTTCTGAATAATTAAATAATGAGTGGCACGATGAATGATCTGCTTTTCAGACATTATAGCTGCTATTAGTAAATGTTGAAATCCCACATTACCAAGGTTACAAGAGGCCTGTGGATTTA